ATAAAAGCGAGTATCGCAAGGCATCGGCTAACCCAGCACTATTACGCTATTTTATAAATACATTCGTCAGATCTGGAATCTTTAATCTTTAATCCCCGCACACAGTAAACAAACACACATTTTTGAACACGTATAAAAAAAATAAGTGGTCTCTTGTTACGGATCAAATTGAAGTCTAGTTACAATTCAATAATTGATAATAGCGCGCATTGCAATGCATTGGCTAACTCAGCATTATACGCTATTTAATAATACATTCGTCCGATTTGGAATCTTAAATTATAATCATAATTATATGAGCCCACGCGTGGGAAGTGAAAGTGAAAGGAATTGAAAATGCTTTCAAACACAATTATGAAAGTAACATAATTAAAGTAGGACTACATGTGCTTATAAAGGCCCAAAAAGGTGTATGGATGCGGAAATTAATGTTTCGGATGAAAATAATACGCTATCTCTACTACTGTAGCATGCGGTCAAAAATTTGATGCGCAACTTATTATCAAATATCTAGGCTACTGAACTATCAAACACCTAGGTCTAGATTCTCCTATTTTAACATAATGACTTAGATCTATATCAATTTGTCTAAACCGATGAGTATTTTTTTCAAATATTTGCACACATCTATAAGTTCTATATTATTGTAGAAATTTCTTTGAAGAAAATTCTTTAATAAATACAAGCCCAATATATATTTTAAAAAAAATCCCACTCAATGGTTTCTACAGATTTTTAAAAAGTTTATAGCTGGAGCTAAATCTCTTTTAAAAGCAAGTCCGTCCTTTTCTCTACTTCTGCTGGCGACATAAAGTTAATTATTGAACGCATGTTTTGAGAACATTAATTAGATCTAGTGAAAAATATGTTCAGTGTAAAACAAATTTCTTGTAACAAGTTTTGCTACTAAAAAATTACGTAGGTCATATGCATATGCAAAATGTGTGTGGGAAGCTAGAAGTGCTGTGAACAATCCCATCTGTGTTACGATTTTTTTTCACAGTTCTGTAGATCTTATATTTATAAACTTTCTATGTCTGCTGTTTCTGTTGTTGCACCCAAAAACACAACAATTTAAAACCTTAATTCCAATCTCTAGTTGCACAGTGAATTCTGTTACTCAAAACTACAATCGCTCTTGCTTTAAAAGCTATAGGTTACTTCCGAAAACGATAAATCGTGCCCTCAAGACGCCATTGTTTTCGGTCTTCAATTCCTCACAGGTCACGTGGTACAGTTCCCGTTCTATAAGTGTAGAATTCTGTGAGACAGGGTTTACCCAAGGAGTTTAGAACTAATGGAGCCTCCTCTCTCTCTTCGCGGCGCCACGAGCAGTACGCCGCGGTGGGGATCAAATATGGCCGCCGAGTGTGGGCTAAATCTCGAACTGTGGCGTTTTTTTTTTTTTAAAGAATCTTATCGGGCTGTGCCACGTTCAAGACGTTGTGGGGGTGGGAGGGGTGGGGGAATGCACGCAAGGAAGAGGGGATGGGGCCGGGATGAAAGAGGAGGGGCGGGCCTTGGGAATGGACGAAGGAGAATGGGGAAAATTAAATAAAAGAGAGAGAGAGAAAGAGAGAGTGAGAGAGAGAGAGAGAGAGAGAGAGAGAGAGACAGAGAGACAGACAGAGAGACAGACAGACAGACAGACAGACAGACAGACAGACAGACAGACAGACAGACAGA